TTATTTAATAAATATGCTAATTAATTCACTAATCTTTATAGATTTAATTCCTGATATATTTATTTATTGTTAGACTTATTTTTTGTTAGATTTATTTACAATATAGAAATTACAATTCTAGAAGCCTTAGAAACTTTTCTAATATAATAAAATAAATTGATATAGAAATTAACTTTTTAAGTCAGCTGAAAGCTTATCTAAAATAATATAGAAATTAAGATTCTATAGCTTTTATAACTTATTTTTATATAATAAAAAAATGATATAATTCCTGAGGTTTGAAAGCCTCTAACAAAGTAAAAGATAGACCTTTAGTTCTTAAATTCCTACTTTGATATTGTGTAAGGTTATTATATTACTTAATACTATAATAGATTACAAATTAAAACTAATTAAGACTATCTATAATAGAAATAAATTTTTATTAGATTTATAATTGAAAGACTTGAAACAGATAAATTTTAAGGTATATTTTTCATTAAATCTATATGCAAATTTATAGCTAATCTACTTAAAATAGTTTCTGTTATACACTTTTTATTAAAAATTTTATTAAATTTATAATGTAGAATTAAATATATTTTTTGTTAAATTTATGATTGAAGAATTTAAGATAGTTAGTTTATATGCAAATTAATAAGCTAACTTATCTTTAAAATATATTTTAATATACCTTTTTCATTAAACTTATCTTATAAAATAACATATTCTAAGTAAAATTAGAATAGTTAGACTTATTTTTTTTGTTAAACTATAAAATATGTTAATTATTAAGCTAAATTATGTAAAAACAAAATACATAATTTTTTATTAGATTTATAATGAGAAAATTGTAATAGTTAAACTTATTTTATTAGATTTATTTAAATATTATGCTATTTATTAAACAAATTATATAAAAAAATAATTATATTCAAATTTTTCATTAGATTTATCTAATTAATATACTATTTATTAAGCTAATTCTATGTAAAAGTAATTCTTGATATATTAATTTTTATTAGACTTAATAAAATTATTAGACATATTTTTGTTAGAATTATTTAATAAATATATTATTTAATGAACTGACTCTTATAAAATCAATTTCTGATATATTATTATTTTTTGTTATATTAAATAAATATTTATTAAAAAGTTAATATAGAAATCAAGAATCTTTTAAAAATTATTTTAATATAATAATAAAGAGATTAGTATAGTTAAGATTATTAGATAAAACCTAAAGTTTATAAGTCATCTAAAAAGAAAAAGTAAAATTTAATAAAATTTAAAAAATCTATGAAATTCTAAAACAGGTAAACTATATCAAAACTTATAAAAATGTGAAAATATATCAAAATCTTAGTAAAATTTAGCAAACTAAAATTTAGACATTTTGTCAAATCTAAAATGAATTTAGATAAGCAACTTTAAGTATAATTTAAAACTTTAACAATTTCATATATGAGAGACAGTCAGTAGAAAAGGAAAAAATCCACTTTTTAGTTAAAAATTTTTTTATTAGTTCATTTTGCTGATCATAATCATATGAACAAACTAGTTTAATAACTAAAATTATTTAAAATATTTAGATTTTTCTCTTTTCTATTAATTGTCTCCTATATAATAAAAAGATAATGTAGAAATTAGAACTTTTAAAAGTTATTCTAATATAATAAAAATTAATATAATTTTTGAAACTCTAGAAATTTCATATATAATATGAGAGGTTTTGTTTTAAAGTTCTAAACTTATATTATATTTAACAATAATATACAATTTATAATATTTATTGAAATAAAATGATTATTTATAAAAGAATTATAAATTAAAAAAAATATATAAATATTTTTTACTTAAAATATATATTTTATTTGATTATTTTTTTAATAAAAAAACTATTATATCAAATATTTATTATTTTAAAACTATTATTAATATTTTAAAAGGTTATAACTTTAATAAAACTATTAAAAATATAAATAAAACAATATAATAAAAAGGTGATGATAATTTTATTTGATTATAAATGTAGGTATAATTTTAATTTTTTAAATTTTATAATTTATATTATTAAAAAAATTTAAAAAAAAAAAATAATAGATTAATATTAATCATAAAATTTTATTTTTATGTTATTTTCTTTTTAAAAAAATATTTATTATTATTTTTCTTTCTTAGTAAATAGACTTTAAATATCTCTTAAAAAAAGTAAGTTTATCTTATTTCATAATATATTTATTTTATATTATAAAAATAATTCTTTAATAAAAACAAAGAAGAATGAAAAATTGTCTAAATATAGTTACAATTTAGATATATAAATTACTTATTTTAGATAACATAAACATTATAAAGTATCACCTAATGATTCTTATTTTACATATTAGTCTTGATGATTTTCAAATTTTAGCAAATTTTAGAAAATCGTTCTAAAGTAATTAGTGTTGATCAAACGTTTAACATTTCAATCGATATTAGTGGTCGAACACAGATGACCATTTTTCCGATTTGTCGCAGGTTTTGGGGGAGATCTTTGATTTCATTGAGTGCTTACTTTTTTCGGAAAAATATGCTTTTATTGCCACAGAAAGCTAAATGATGTAATCTAGCATATACATACGTTATAAAAAAACCCTTTTTTTTTTAATAATTATAAAAAATGGCTTCTCCTCATAGATCGAAATTAAAAATGCCTCGAGTTAAACGAGCACAATCTTCAACCACTCTCCAATTTGCGCCTCCAAATTGGTTAACTAACCTTTTTGAACAAAGTTCAAGTAGTTTTGCGTTTTCTCGAGATTTATCCGATGGGAATTTGAAACAATCATTTTCTCGTATTTTAATTTCTATTTCAAATGTACCTTACCTTTCTTCCAAATTACTGTTCATATTTTTATGTGCTGGTTTGGGTGCAACTTTGCCGTATCTTCCTATTTTTTATGATTCCTTAAAGTTGAGCCCCTCAGAGATTGGTATTGTTTTCTCTGTGGCCCCATTTATTTCCGCTCTAAGTTGTCCTCTTTGGACAGGCCTGGCTGATCGATTTCAAGCACATAGATCAATTATTGTTACAATTTATACATTGGCCACAGTTGGAGTTCTCTCGCAAGTACTTTTGCCTAGACCAGTTATCACAACAAATAATAATAATTTGCACACTTTTTTAGTCGTATGCGTTTTTATTGTCGCACTATGGTTTGCTTTCTTCGGGTTTCCTGTTAATGCTTTGGTTGATAGTGGTGTATTGAAGATTTTGGGTGATAAAAAAGAGCTTTATGGTAAGTTTCTTAATATATACTGAAATCGAATCATGAATATTTTTTTTAAGCATTTATTCCATTATAGGACAACAAAGATATTGGGGATCCATTGCATATGGTTTCAGCACTTTTTGTGTTGGTATTCTCTTGGAAAAATTCGATAACGTAAATGTTATCTTTTATTACTTTTTTGTCACTGCTATTTCTTTTCTCATCGTCGTCATTACTACCGATTTCAATCCAACTTCTGAAGAAATTGAAATAATACCGACACGTCTTAAAAATAAATCTTTTAAACCTTTAATTGATCTCGATGATGATAATAATGTCGCTACAAGTTCAATAGGAGACATTAATAAACTTACTCATGATAATTCATCTGCAATTGATATTTCTTCGAATATTGAAGAGTCCGATGGTGAAGATTCTTCTGCAGATGAGGATGATGATGACGGAATTCCAGTACCTGATTTAGACATTTTGGCCTTTCCTCCTACTACACCAAATATACCAACTTCTTCACTTTCTGATAATCCTTCCTCAGCAATGAAGACTTTATTTACAAACCCATCTGTTGTAACTTTATTATCTGTTATGTTATTAATGGGGATTGCACTTTCAATGAGTAATGCATTCTTATTCTTGTTCCTTAAAAATGATTTGAAAGCGAGTTCAACTATCCTTGGATTAACAGGGCCAGTTAGTGCTATAACAGAATTATTATTCTTTTTCTATTCCAAAGAGGTAAGAAACATATTCAAATTTATATGATAAAAACATCGTTAAAATATAATAAATTTAAATTGATTTCCTTCATTATTAGTTAATTTCACAATTTGGAATAAGTTCATTGATATTACTCGCTCATGTCGTAACAATTGTACGTTGCATAACGTACATGTTTTTGCAACCTAATTTCTTATCTCACGTTGTTGCGCTCATTGTGCAATTATTAAATGGAATTGGATTTTCATCATTATGGGTTAGTGGAGTGACTCATATCGCAAATCATGCACCACCAAATCTTGTATCATTTTCACAAGGAATTATGACAGCATTTTATGCTGGTATTGGTACAGGATTTGGTAGTTTAATTGGTGGATTATTGTTTGGTAGTTCAGGAGGACCAAGATTAATGTTTGGAGTTGTTATCACAATAAGCATAATAAGTATGCTGTTATATTCATGGGGAGAAAATGGATTTAAATTTTTCAATGGATTTAATAAAAGAAGAAGTAAAAATCATTTTAGATCACCATGGCAAGGTATTCATCATGGTCAAACCACTATTGAAAGAACAAGAAGTATTCTTTCCGTTGAAACTATACCAAGATCCGCTAATTCTAAAAAGGGTAGATATGAATTAATTCCTATGGATGATGATGATGATGAACAATACCATTATGGTGTATTTGGTGATAGTAGAAAGTAGAATCTTTTTGTTAAAAAAAAATTAAAAATTATATGTAAATAAATATCTTTTTAGATAAATTTATTAAAAGAAAAAGAGAAAGAAAAAAGTTTTTAATTAATATTATTAATGTTGACATAACCAATTAAATAGTCTTAATAAAAAAAGTATTTTATAATACCAATATTTTTATTTATTAATTATAAAAGTCATCCAATCGATTTCTACATAAATTTGAATATAAATAAACTTAAACTAATAAATATGAATTACAAATATTTAGAGGAAGCGCGTCTTTTAAATCAATAAGGAATAACCTTAAAATAATTAATAGTATATTGATATTATTCATTATCTTCAAATTCAGAATCAGGTCCTTCCATTATAATTTCAGGTATTTCCATATCATCAGAATCATCTTCTTTAAACATTCTAAAAGATTTAAAAACATTATCATGATCCTTAGCTATTTCTTTTTCTATGTCAACAGGAGAAAGAGAACGCATTCTTTTCTTTTGATTTTCTATCATTTCTGAGGAAGTAGATTGTTCATGAATATTAATTCGGTTACTTCGATTACCTATAAGCATATTATCACTTTTATTGACTACTTCCAATATACTATTATCATCGAAAAAATTCTTATTCGCATTTTTATCAACATCAACGTTTATCTTGTTAATCATACTTTCCACTATCTTTGAACTTGTTTCTGTTGTAACAATATCAAAAGATATTTGTGGTGATTGATCTATAACCATCATCTTATTATTATCGTCTTCTTTGTCCTCCTTTTCACTTTCGGTTTCTGTATAGGATTGCTGTAATATATTTTCCATGGCAGTATGATGATGTTGTTGTTGTTGTTGTTGTTGAATCAGTGTGTTGACAGAGGATCGTTCAAGAGGTGGTAAACGACTATGAAATATTAAGTCACATATTGATAATGCATGAGAGCAAAATGATCGTAACTATATCAATTTTTTTTTTTTTTAAAAAAAAAAGTTAATAAAAAGAAAAAAATATATTTATATCTAAAAAAAGATATATCAATAAATACCTGATTTGATCGAGAATTTAAACCGGCAGTAAATATTTTCAAAGCATATGGCAATACAGTAGGTTGATACTCCGAAGGAGAAATTACAGAATGTAATAAACATTCATATAGTTTCATATTTACATTGTCTTCACTGTTGTTTGAGCTATTTGTATTGTTTTGTGAAAGAATCCTTAGTAATAGGATATTATCTAACGATGACTTTATATTTGATGGCATTGAAGATCCACATGTTTTCAATAAACTCTTCAAAACTTATATCATAATAATTATAATTGTTCAATAAGTAAATTGAGAAATGAAAAGGAGGAAAAAAGAAATACATACCTTCTAATGAAGCGTATTGTACGTCTACGTTCGTTTGCGAGCATGTTAATCCACTCGAATTAACAAATACATCAGAATTTGTTATTTGTGATGATGATGATTTCTTCTTACCTGATTTCTTTTGCTGTTTCAGAAATAAATTAATTAAACACATTAAATAAATTGAACAATATAGAAAGTTAGAAATATTAACCTTGTTGTTAGTATGATCGGTAGTTTCAACGTTAATTGAGATATCATACGGAGATTTTTGTATGATCTTTATATCATCAATTATAAAGGATAATAATGTCGAGGATATAAGATTGGTTAAACTGATTCCGTATTTTTGTATACAAAGATCTATTAAATTATACGTTGACACTCTAAGTAACCTAATAAAAATATACAAAGAAAGCGGGAATTATTATTAATGAAAACGTTGGTATTTAAAGATAAGTGATTCGTACCAACTTGATTTTGAGTTGTTGAGAAGTTTAAGCAGGATAGAAGAAATCACACGTAAATGAAGTATCAAGTGTTCGCCAACGCTAAAATTATATGATATTATAATACGTTAAATAAATGTGCAAGGAAACTTAAATACTTAGAGACTTAAATACTTAGAGTTAGATATACTGGTTTACCTTAATACTATAGCACAAAGAATTTTATTACAATGCATGAATAATGATGGAATACCTAACAATAATACATAGTACTCATGTTTATCTTTACTCTCTGTAACCTATTATTAAAAAAAATTAATTATAAAAAAAACCTTTCTTTGAATAATTTTCAATTATTAATAGTAATTAATACTTGCAAATGAACCTTCATAAATATTATAAACTCTAAATAACAAATCTAGAACCTGGTTAACAGGAAATTGTACAGGTAAAGAAGTTGGTAGACTACAAATAAAAGAAATAATATAAATAAATATATATATAATTTCATCAAATATTTTAGGAAAGGAATGAAATGTTACCTTATTAGAGAAATTAAACATTCACTTAAACAATGAAATCTTGAGAACAACATTGGAAATGCGATAATATAATTTTCTGATGCTTGAGGCATCTCAAATCCCGCCAGTTTTTTTGACGCGTCCTTTTCTGACAAAAAACAAAAATTTTAAAAAAAAATTAAAATCATTCAAATTTTTTTTCAATGATATTAAAAGTAAAATAAATACCTTCATCGATGGTATCAAACAATTTATCCAAAATATTATTCAAAGATCCAACAACTTTAAGTAAATTTAATTTCCAATAATGCGTATTATTATTCATTTTACCACCAAAATTAATGATATAAGAAAAACATTTAACAGCCATTTTGGATAATTCTGATTCATAATCATGAGTACCATCTAATAATATACTTAAACATAATTTTTGAGATGGTTCATTAACAGGACGAAATATTGATGGGAAATTTTTAACTGAAAGTGATAATGCACTAAATATTGTAGGTAATAGTCTCTTATTTAATCCTGATAACTTTATTAAAAACGTATTGAATCTTGGTAATTGTTGTGTTGTAATTTCTCTCTGTAATTCTGGTTTGTTTTGTGTTTTATTAAATAATTCCGTTAATGTTGTTATTATTTCTTTTAAAACAAGTGTTGGTTCTGGTTTCTAATTTTGAATAAATCTCGGTTAAATACGGAATTAAGTAATATACGATAAATAATTCAACATACTTAACTGTAAGTAAAATCATTAATGTGGTCGTCCAACTTTGTAAGTTTTGTAAAAATATTTCTTCAGATTGTTCAAAGGAAATTTTAATAAAACAAATTCCTGCCCATCTTGCTTTCATAACTTTAGAATGTAACAAAGAATTTACTCGAGTACACCATTTATGTAATACCATTTGTTCTTCTACATTGCTTAAAAGCTGGTATTGTGTTATAGCTTCTAATATAAACGGTACATTTGTATCTACTGTATTATCATCTAATGCATAATTTGTAATTAATGTCGTTAAAAGTTTAGAAGATTCAATATTATTCATATTTAAAAATTTATTTTTTTTAGAACTTAAAATAGATGAAAAAGATGAAAATTATCAAGAAAAAAAATTGTACAAGTCGACCGATAATGGCAGAATATTCTAGAGACTTTCCAAATATTTTATAATACCTCGGTCATGGAACAACAATGCTTCGTAATTATGGAATTATGATTATGAACTACAAATTCAATTTTACTTTGTGTGGCTTAATTTTATAATCGACTGTTATCCAATTATGAACTCTTTGAACATGGTGGAATTTATAAATTGTTTATAAATAAATCATATTAGCCAATTGAACGCCGAAATTTTAAAAAAAACCTGTTCTTAAAGTTCCCCTTACCCATTTCGCTTATTCCGCCCTTTACACTTCTCATTTCTTTCGGCCTTCATAGTCTTTTATAACAACAATAAAATAAAAAGGTGTCTATAAAATCGCTAGTTCAGTGGATTCTTTTTTACCGTTATATAAGTTCAAAGAACTTTTTTACTGTTTTTTTTTTTAAAAAAAAAAAAACTCTCCATAAAGAACCTCACTCAACTTTAAAAAAAGTGAAATATATATATAAATATGAGTGATAATTCACCTTGCTTTCCCTTACCTAGTAGGACCTTCCACCAGCCAAATTTTCACCACCCTAATGGTAATTTTCGTCCTATAAGAACTGATGGTAGTCATCATTCTCAAGTTATGCAAAGGGCAATCATGAGAGAAAGGTTTCCGACTGCTGGTACGCTTGATGTAGTACAAAAAGGTATTTGTGCAGTTCATTTAAGCGAAGTATTTTGATTATAATCCGAGTATTTGGTATTCTGACATTTTGTTATTCGTTTTGTTTATAGTCACAGGTAAACGAAAGCAGGGTTACGATTCTGATGATTCTATGAGTGATAATAAAAGTCCACCTAGTTCTCCCTATTTTATGGAGAAAGACTATGCTTCAGTCAAAAGAACAAAAATGATTGTCGAGGAAGATTTCCCTTTAAGTAAACTGTTAGGTAAATTGCACTCTTTTATTTATTCTTTCAAGTTCAGCAAGTTCAACAAGTTCAGCAGCAAAGTCATTTCTAATCCTGGTTCTGCTCTCTCTCTTTTTTTTTTTTTTGAATAGCAACGCTCGATAAACCTCAATTATTGTCATTAATAAATAACCTTATCGATTCCCATCCAAACTTACAATCAGAAATCGCATCAAATATTCCTCGACCGACAATTCACTCTGTAACAAATGTATTAAATAGTATGGAAAAAAAATATCAAGATAGCTTCCCTTATACAAAATGGGGACAAAGTAAAGATGATTATAGCTTTAATAGAGTTAAACCTGCCATTATGGAGTTAAAGGGTGCTATTTTAGATTATGCTGCTCATTTTACTTCGACCGAAGAATTTCCTACTACAAAATTTTCTTTCCTTCACTTGGCTACCTCTATTACACAGCGATTGCCTGATTGGGACAATCATTTACATAATGAAATCAAACGTGATCTATACATTAAATTGTCTGAATGCTGGACGAAAGCTATTGTTGATGCCGCTAGTAAAGTTAGCGAAGGAAAACTATATGGTCAAATGGTCGTTAGTGAATGGGCTAGAAAGTACGTCTTTTTACTTTGGTCATAATTTTTATGTTTTCAATATTTTTTAATAATTAATTGATTTTATTTATTTATTTATTTTTATAAAAATTAATAGTTTGGCACAACACAATCGAGAATCTAATGGTATGTTCCAACAAGCCGTTAATGAGTTTATTGATAAACTGGGATGGATTGCTGGTATTCAAGTTGGATCGAATTCTTTGATGTCAAATCATTCATACTCTTTATCAACTGGAAATAATGGAGGACATCATCAATATTCTGTGTTACCAGTCTAAAACCGAGTTCTTTTTTTGGCGATCTTAATCTATAGACCTCTGGACAAGAAACGATGACAACCAATATGAAAGGACGTAAATAATACGTTGAAGATATTATTAATTAGAAAACAATAAAGATGTATATATATATATATATTATTATTATTATTATTTTGAGATATATATATATATGAAAAGTAAAAAAAAAAAAAAAACATTAAAAATATGTATATTATTGAAATATGTAGATGAACGTTTCTAATTTCGAGTGAAGAATCGTTATCTTTTTGTTTTCTAAACCAGCTTTTTATGGTAGAATCTTTTTTTTTTTTTGTCAAGAAAGATAAAAAAAAATTATTTTATTCCTTTTTTTTTTTTGAAACAAATATATACATATTATCATTTACATTCTTTATAAGCTTTTAAAATTAAAGTGTATTTTTTATATAAAACATCGGCAAATAAACCCGTCCAAATTTAAAAATATATCTGTAAACAGAAGCTTCATGCTATTTATTTATGATCAATCGGGAAATTGAGCTTTAATTGGCATATGAAAGTTTAAACTTGATCGCTGATTGATTTCTTTTACCTGACAATACATCTTTGGAAATATCATTAGACTGCCCTTTATGATTTTTATTTTTTAATTTTTTAATCATACAGATTTTGATAACATTTTATAGATTCGCGTTTAATCGATTCAAGTGAATGATCAACATCCGAGTTTAATAAAAATAGAAAATGGACATGAGATTACAAATTTTTACGATTACTCACGTGATTTTTAAGATTCATTAAATCGGTTGATTTTAGTATCAACATCGCTTATTCCTCTTAACATTAACATGGACGAACTTATTGCAGGCGCTGCACTTACCACCGTGACATTTGTAAGTAAAACTATTAATTTGCCTTGTCAACTTAACTAAACCTTTTACACTAAACAACGCGCATGTTATATATCCTAATAGGTTGGCAAAGCTGCGTTCTCTCATTCCATGAACTATGTTCTCGTGTGTATTTTTTTAACTTTTTACTTTTTTTTAAAAGAAAAATAAAATTATCATTTAATTAACATATGTTATTTTAACTATATTAAGAGACAAGTCACGACCAGTATGACCAATAATGTGGCGAGTAGAGTTACGAGATACATGCGAAAGGAAGCCTCTTCCTCTACTTCCAGAGAGGAGGAAAGCAAAGTTATCTCTTCAATTGTTGCCAACGAAGATGAATTAAAGCGTGCTAAAGAGGTAAAATTTAAAAATGACCTATTGGATTTATGAGTTTTGATAATAATCTTTAGCATTTTTTTTTTTTTGTTTTTCCTTCAATAACAGAGTTTGGGACTTAGCATTCGCATGATATTACCAGCAATCGATTTAATAGAAATCATTTCAGCACGTGGTAACACTACATTACAATCAACGGTTGAACATGCAAAGCAATTACAAAAAGAAATCTTATCAGTTGGAAAGAAACTTGACCCCAATTTGAATCAAGTTTCGGAAGGTTTATCCGTTCAACAAATCACTTTAGATAATGAAATTTTAATAAAAGAGATTGAGATACTTATACAAAAAATTGAAAGATTTGTCCCATATCTCAACCTTATAATGACTACAAGTGGTGCTAATTTAAATTGGAGTTTGCCAAATTCTGTTAGTCCATCACGATTTCTACAATCTTCTAATTTATTATCTGAAACAAATCGAAAATTTTCTATCAATAAGGATAAACAAATGCGTGTTGGATCTACACTTAAGCTGAAATTATATTACATGTTTACAGCTTCAGTGAGACCAAAATCTGTTAAAGACTTCACTTGGAAAGAAGAATTTACAAAATGTGATGCTAGTTTAAATAGAGTACGTGATATTGAAAGAAAGAAAAAAAAGAAAAATAAAGAGTTCATTTATGAATTGGTTCTAATCGAAGATTTAAACGATGGAAGATATCATGAAGAATTTGATGCGGGAGATTTAAAGAAACAAAAAGAAACCAGAGCAAAGTTGGGTAAACCAAATGAAAGTATCCCAGGAAAAATGCTTCGTATCCCAGTGAGTGATATATCGCGTTTGTATTATACCTCGTCTGGAAGTTTGTTGAACATTGAAGAATCAAGGTCTCCGGTTTTAGTACTTAAAGTTATAAAAGGTTTATCTAGAACTCGAATGATTAAAGAAAATGTCGTAAATGCAAAGGATACAGACTCTAACCCTTTGTATGTACCACCGATTGCGGTTACGCCGGAGAAGCGTAAAAAGGAATCAAAGTATCAAGCGAACGCAGAATTTTATGCATTAGAATTATTTCAAGAATCAGAAAACATTCCAAATACTAGTGATCAAGAGGTTGATGATGAGGAGGAGGAAGAGGAAGAGGAAATCTTCAGTAGTGATGAAGAGGAGGAGGAGGAGGATATTGAAGATTCGAAAGAGGATACATCATTAAAATATCCCGAAACTCCATCACCGAGGAAAATACCCTTGCCTTTAACCCCTAATGACTCAGCCTACCCCCCAACACCAACACCAAGAAGAGTACCTTTGCCACTAACTCCTACTCCTAGCGAGTCGGAATATCTTTCAACACCCTCGCCAAAAAGTCCTGTTGAATCGAAATCTACTTCGCGTAGAAAGATACTTATTGAAGATGATGAAGATTCAACTATAAGTGATGAATCAGAAAGTGAAGCAAAGAAAGAAAATGCGAAATTTGAGGTTTTTGATAATAATGTTACTGGTACTATTATTCCTGAACCTTTATCTCCAAAGACTTCAAATATGCCAGAGAACAAGGATACCGAATCTGATGAGGAAATTCAGAGTAGTATAAATACTTTGAGCCTTTTAGAATTTCTCTTGCGTTTAAGTGCATTAGAAGTAAGTGAACAAACAAGTCACCTTGAAGTAACCGATGAGAAGCTCAACCTCTTTTTAAGAGATGAAGATTCATCTGGGGCTTCACTTGGTTCACAAACCCCAGAATCGACACCATCTAAATCAACTTCTCGTACTTCGGGTCCCCGTAGTACACCAGGCAAGTCATCTTCATTATCCTCATCTAGAAGAATATTATTTAAGGATGATATAAGGTTAAAAGAAGATCTTATGGACAGTCCGTTGACAAACAAAATGTCAAATTTGAAATTAAATGAATAAATTATGGTTATGTTTTCATTTGATTTTACTTTTTCCTTTGTGTATTATTAACAAAAAAAAAAAAAAAATAAGACATTTGATTAGTGAATGACCTCATATTGGGGCGTTTTACATAGCTTCGCATTTTCTCATAATGTTCAAGTTAATAAATAATTGAAGAGGGACAGTTCTTAATTTCACGCAATTGAAACTTTAAATTCTTGATTTTTATAATTACAAATTTGATAAAATATTTATTGTTGAATTTGAAAATCACATTTTATTTCTTTTTTACAAAAAAAAAGAAATCATGTCTAACAGTATTTACTAGCAAAATGTGATTTAAATAAAATTCGGTGATTTTATGTGATTTATTTTATAATATTTGCCTTGGTCATAAAAAAGAATTATTGTAGAAAAATTACGCTCTATACTACAACTAGAAATCGGACAAACATTTGGTTGCTCTTTCTACCATTTCCTCAACAAGCTTCAAATTTAGTTAAAGAAAAATTATGCGGCATTCTGTGAATAATTGGAAATCATTGTAATTGTATAAAGATGAATTTAGCTTGTTGAATTCGTCATGATGAGACGCATTGAATGGTGGGAAATTCGTATCCCTAAGAGATGCGAGCTATGATTTCTACTGAATGATTAGGTTCATTTAGCAGTTTAAAGTATAAATCCTCCCCTAAAATATCAGATAAAACACTACTTCTTCAGCTTCTACAGATTTATCAGTGCTTTCTCAAGAGATTAAACAAGTTTCAACGAATAAGAATTTACTATCTCCTTCTATTACCACAAAAACTTGAGTACTTAAAAGACTTTCTTACCACCTGAAATGTGCTTGATAATTCCGTCTGTATTATCAAGTCCAGGAGAGACCATCCCATATAAGGGAGTACTGTTACACAATTTATTGGATTTTTTTTTATACAGTTTACAATACATTTTCGTGAGACCAAAGTTGCCGATCTGTGCAATGAAACGTGAACAAATCAATTAAGATAACTTGAAGTTCTCGCACTGCACTATTACATATTTTTTTAATTCCCATTAATCCCACGCCTTTATGTTACTATTCACCTCTAAAGATATGTCTGAGATGAAGCGATGCATAGAATGTCAAACTACTAACTCAACTAAATTTTGCCCATTAAAGGAAGAGAAATGGAAAGAAACTGAGAACAATGATTTAGTAAAAGTAACATGAAGGGAAGGTGTTCTTTTATATAATGTTTATTATATGTGTTTTATAGAAAACCCTTTAAAAAAGAGCATAAGAAAGTAAAAATTACAGACAAAGCCATAAACAAAAATACCGTGAACACAGAAGATATGAAGGTTGATCTTGTTAAAGCTATCAAGGCGATGGCAAAAATCCTTTACGAGAAAGAACATGTAAAAGAAAAAGATCCTATATGCATTTGATGAAATGCGAAAATTATTTCAAGAAATTGACCTGACTTAAAGGATTTCTTTGATCAACTATATTCAGCAGCTCTGCCACTCAAACGCAACAAGCAAACAATAGATTGTATGAAAAAATTGATGGTGTTCATTTGCTACCTTCTTGCTTCATTAAACAATATGAAAATTAATTGCTTTAAATTTAATCTTACATATTATTTAAATTCAGTAGACATAAGTAATAAGGGCTTGAATATACTGACAAATATCAGCATAACTATAACGGCAAGAGCTGTAGATCGTAGGAAGAAAAAGATGTTAGATGCGCATGGAAAATATGTAAAGAATGCTCTTATAAAATATTTGAAAAATGTGTTAGTATTAAATATCAACAATTATCATAACATTCATATTCAAAGACAACCTGATACTCAGATACGTTTTGGATGATACACATGGTAATGATTATAGCAATTCTATGCTCTACACTAGCGATACTATGAAATAGAATAATCAATCCAAAGATAGTTAATAATGAATTCATTGAAAGGCATTTTGATGAGTGATTTATCGTAAATTTTGGAATTTTCTACAGTTATATGCAGAATTATATAGAAAAAGAAAGCTCTAATGTTGATCTCATAAATAGGTTAACATTACATAGCTATAATGATAAATTAGAGGAAAAAAAGAGCAAACAATATATACAGAATGCCATTCTTATCAATTTTGTTAAAAGTAATTTGAAAGGCGTAAATGAATATACAAAAGCTCTTCAAATTATATACAATCAAGAAATAATGTAAGATTACTTTACTAATCACATGATTCCTATTGTTGCAGACTAGCCTGGTCAGCTTTATATTCATAAAGCTATTACTCAATGGTTCCTTGTCAACAACAAAGTCATTTTCTCGTTTATTTCTTTATTTCTACTTATTATAGGTTCCCTTCACATGTTTTTAAATGCTTGTGAACTCATTTTTTTAAAATATTTATTTTTTTAATGATATTTATTTAGAGCATGTAAGAATATTAGTAAAAAGCCACAACTGTAGAGAATCAATTTAATTCTCCATATTGTGCACATGTTATAATTTAAAATAGTTGATGCTATTTATTCAAAGTTTGGTTATACATGCAAGAATATAGAATATTTATATTTAACTGATCTACTAAGCAATTTGATTTCTTTAGTTCTTGACATTTATGTAGTACACCATTAAAAAGAAAATTGGTCAGCCTACAAAGAAGCTTGTATACGTTGTTAGAGTGATCTTTTTTTTCAATTTACTTAAAGAAATTATAAGCGTGCTCTTTGATGCTTTTCTCTGATATTTTTATTAGATAGAGACTAATCATCTGATGATTGAAATAATTACTAACCATCTTACCTCAATAAGTGACTACCCTATAGAACTTGTTCACAGTATTATTTGATAACATACCGCTAAGTTTTCTATAACTAAACAATTGCAAAAGACACATTTTATTTTTGAGTATTGAGAAGATAATACTTTTTGTCAATATTTTGTGAATTCAGTGAAATATTTGTATATATCAAAGTAATTGCATATGCTTTCCAAAAAGTATGCTATATTACTTTTAAATATATTTACGAAAATATATCAAATGCATGATCATTATCCTTTAATTATTAAATCTTCATTTAACAGTATTAATACTTACAAACTTTCTTCATTAGGTTACGAGATAACAGATCATTATTTTCTAAGAGGCTTTATTACAGTCAACTCTTGATATAGCGAACTCTTAATATAATGAATTTTTTGAATAAATATAATAAAAATACTTTTGTTATAGCAAATTGGCTAATCAAATCTCTTAAAATCTTCACTATAACCTTATAGCGAAGTTGAGGTCTAGGATATAGAGTTTGTTATAACAAGAGTTGACTGTATTTGTAAGAAATCTAATACTTCCACTTTATGTGATTACATATACTGTGATGACAATTCACTTGATGGTAGCATTCTGACATGTGATCATAGTTATCATAATCTTTGCTTATAGAGAATTCAGTTTAAGTGCTTAATATGTTTAAGTTATCTTTAGGGTGAGGTTAAAAAGAATATCGATACATTGATAATAAGTTTAATAAAAGAATTAGTTAAAGGTGAACTTTTCGAGGATGATGAAAATATAGTTGATGATGATTTAAACAATTTAAAAGAGGCAACAGATGATATAACAAAAATGGATAATTTATTAAAAAATGTAAAAAATTTATTTATAGAGCTGTAAAATTTTTATTTTTATTTCATGTATACAAATAAAATTATTTGCAATAAAGAAAATCTAATATTTTGAGTCTAATTATCAAGCTAACCAATATTTTTAAGCTAATCAATAAGTTGAATTAATCATTTAATTTTATTAATATTAAAGAAATTAAGCCACAAAGTAACTAAAATTATACATTCTAAATTTAAAAATTTTGTGTAATCACGTGACTGTCAATTTAATTAGTTAGTTAATATGTGACAATATCAAAATATTATAATTTTATTAATCAGTTATATGTCACAATATCGAAATTTTGTGTAATAAGAACGGTCTCTCCTGGAGATTTATATAGGATCATATCTCAGGCTAAGCTAATTTTATATTTTTATGCATATGCATAGCGTCTAGTTAAATCAATTTGTGACATAACGTATAACATATTACATGTATTATCTTAGATTTCTACCAGTTTCTTAATAGCTTTAGGAATGTTCTAAGAGCTGGTGAGTTTTGATAAATTACAAGATGATTAACTGATCAGATTTCACTAATTGACATGATAGCTAACTATTAATATTGAATAAATGCGAAAACAAATGTAATTTTATAAAATTCTCTTTATTATATTAATACAAAAAAAGGCTAGCTAACTCGAGATCAGTATTTTTTTTTTAAATAAATTACATGAAAGAAAATATAAAATAAATAGTGAAGTAGGCGAAAACTAAAAGGGAGAAATAAAGTGTGAAAATGCCTGCTGAACCCTAACTTATATAATAGTAGTTCCTTTTTTCACTTACTATTTACTATCATTATTGCGAAATTATGCTGCTACTAGTATTACTGTTACTATTATTATTATCTGCAAAACTAATTCTTTTTTCTTCTTTCTATCAACTTATGAAATTATTTTATTTATAGTAGTTTTCCTTGAAGTTTTCAGATACTGATAGAAGTTAGCTAATGTAACCAGACTAAGTCCAATTTCCTGAAATAATATATTATACAATTGTGTAGGAAATCATTTCTCTCTTTTTCTTTTTCCATCAAATATGGCTGTAAACTTGATCCAATACATTTATATTTCATCCGTATATTTAGAATATTGAAATATATGACTTGTAAAAGAAAATCTGACTAGATGAAATAAGATGCAGACTAGATCATGGTTAATGAATCGCAAAATGAATGAGTCCTGAAGAACCAAATACATAGGATCTTACCTTGCGAAATGGCATTATTCATTCATTCATTCTCAGTTCATATTCTCTGAAGTTCATTATTTAAGACTAGAATCAATCTTTTTAGATCATTATTTCTTTCAGTATGATTGTTATGAAAATAGAAAAATGTTCTGGTAAAAATTATATATATAAATGAATTTCCCAAAAAAATAGCTTGGAGATTCTCAATGGTTATAAATCTCTGAAATATCATTTCGTAGATTATTACTATGATGTAGAAGAATGCAATTAGGAAGATATCTGGAATCATTTTATTAGATTGAAAATTGATTGAGTGTTATATAGAGGTATGCGATCAACTTTTTGATTTGATATTATTTTTTTCTTACTAAAGATGTCATATTAATATATCAGTTTTTATAGGACTAAACCCTTTCACAAATGATCATCGCAAAACATGAAAGTCTTTGGATCTTTGCTAAGTGATCTTATTGTTTAATGCTGACTGATTTTAAGTTGCAAATTAACCTGTATTAGAATATACTATTAGCAGGTAATCAAACACACAGATAATTATAAAATTTTTTATTTGTGATATATTAGATCTTAGACTGAAAACATAGCCCAAATACATGGTTATATTTTTGCAATGCATAAAATAAATTACAAATGAATGGGACTTCATCTGAATGCATTAATATAAAGGATTTCAATTACTATATCAGATGATCAATATAAAAAAATAATTAATTTCTACAAACTATTCAAAAATTCTCCTGCTTTTAGCGCTTGACTTTATTACTCTAGCTCAGTAGGCAGTTACTGAAGAGATAATAAGACTTATAATTAGTGAGATTTTTCTTTTGTATTCTTCGTTACAATAGTAATAACCTTTATCATGTTTACTATATTCATTATATCCACTGTATTCATCTATCATCATTTGAATTATCTCTATAGTGTATCTTATTTTCAGAATTACTATCAGAATCAAAGTTATTATTAAATAAATTAGGATCACTATTGTGTGTATTATCTTCATTTATCTTATCAATATATATATCATTATTATAGCCATTTACCTTAACTTTCATTACAATTCTATCAACATCATCCATATTATTATCATTTGTCTCATCAAAATACACATCATTATTAACTACATTTGATGGCATTTTATTCTGCCTTTCTTTCTCAAGAGCCTTCTAGCTTAATGCGATCATTCTATCAAAATCATCTTCAACTAGTATGAGTATAATTGATGCATTTCTTTAGGTAAGATTTTTTTAGGACAGATGCGTAAATCTCTTCTAAAACTTTAACAATTCTTTACCAATGCTTCTTTTAACTGCATACTTCAAACTTCAATTTCTTAAAAAAAGCTGTATAATATCATATAGAACAGCTGATATGTAAGGTTGTAAAATTACATTTTTAAGTTACAGGAATTTTATGTAATCTATTTAATATACAAAAGATTTTTGATTCAAATTATTATATACTATAAAATAATATATTTTTACTATTTAGATAATTTGATTACTATATATAAAATTTGGTATAAATTACATATAATTTACATGTAAGATACATATAAGTTACAGCCAAATTTTTATATTAATGTTATCAGAAGAACTTTGTTACGCTAAATATTAGAAAGGTCACTCTCAGAGTAGAACTATAATACTTGAGAGCAGTTTTACTTTGAGCAATATCTAAAAGTATCAAAAGAGTCAAAAGAATTATTACATAATGCTTTTAGAGAAGAGATAAAATTGTTAAAAAATCATGTGAAGCTAAATTTAAAAGAAGGTCGCAGGTTATCAGTTTTGAAAAATCAACTAAAGATTAGTATCTTTACATATTTTCAGGAATGTTAAGATGCTAATGAGAATAATAAAATATGTATCATACTCTGTATTAGTATACACAGAAAAGAGCAACTTTGTCACATTAGTACCATAGTGAGCACATCTTGCTATTGAGATTTTTAGTTAGGGTCTGCTGATTTTGAAGGAGAAATTGGCTATGGATCTTTACTTACACTAATCTTATATAATATCAGGCATCCTGAAAAAAAGGCAAAGCAAAGAAAATATTCTTCCAAAAAGAAATAATGTTAAAGTAGAAGATAAGCGTATTTTAAAAAGAAAATGAACATATTATCAGAAAGAAATTATAAAGAATATATTTCAAAAGCCAAAGGACAAGATATGAGGTTAATATTTTTTATTATTTTATTCCATTACTCATTGTCAGTTATTTGAAAATCAGTGGTTAGTTTGTGATATAAATGTTACAAAAAGATTTCAAGAATATCAACAAAAAACTCTTGAAAAACTTAATTTACGTGAATTAATCTGGCATGACACATATAGAATCTTATAAGTGATAAGATTTGTAAACACAATTATTATACTTGTATCTAAATATTGTAAATATTGTAATTTTAGAGCACTTTCATCAATAATAATGCTTGATCAATGTTACTCCTATAATTTTACTAATGAAGAATAGCAGAAAATAATTAAAACGAACCTATATGCAATCTATAAATCAGTTCTATCAACTCTACTATTTAATGCTTTGTATAAAACTATGATTAAGCACTTGTTAGATCAAAATAATTATATGTTTCTGGATAAAACTCTACTTTCTCAAGAACTTTCAATGAGCTGTAAGTTTTCATTAATTTACAGTATTAGAATAATTCATTAAACAAAATTTTTTTTGACATATTAAGATGAGAAAATGTGTCTAATATCACATCTAAGACTATGTTCAAGCAAGAACATTGCTTATGGTTCTTCTATCCATTTATAAATCCAATATTCTTAAAAAAAAATAAAGATTACAAAGTACAGTTAGATCATTCAGTAAAAGGAACCAAACTGAAATCAGATCTTTTCTATATCGTAGATGAATTTCTGTGTTAAATGCAAAAATAAATCCATTAAGGTATAGCCCTTTAAAACAAAAAAAGGATATTGTAAAGTCTGATCTATAGGCAAGAAAAACTATAAATCAATTTTTGTTTTCAAAAGGTGACTCAAGAAAATCAGTAATATTTCTTAATTGTGGTTTATTCTTAGTTCATTGTTATGAAACCAACAACTTATCTCTTTATTATCTACTAAATTATTTATTAAAATTACAGAAGATATCATCTAAACATATATCATAGAATTATAATACGATGGGATATACTAATTATAGGCATTCTTTAAATTGAAATTGATGATAGATAAATATAGCTTACCCTTGATCAAGTCAAATTTTACTTATTTTATAGCCTTAGAGGTACTGTATATGCCATATGTTATATGCATATCACTATTTACTATTTTAAAATTTATTGTAATATTTATAATATTTATCATTTATAAGAGTGTGTAATTAAACTTTCAAAAGATTATAAAATTGAAGAATGCCAATCACACTGCATGAACAAATTTATTATATGCGCAATATTTTAGATTTTATTAGATCAAGAATATTGTAAGTTTATAATGAGCAGTATAAGAATATTTGAATTTAAGCTTTTAAAGGAATTTAATTATATTTCAAGTGTAGGGTTTGTTTAGAATTTCTAGCTTGTAATCATACCAAATACTACATATACAGTTAATCAAAGCATTGTAAAATAAACTTATTATCATAGTACTGCTACAGAATTATCTTATCTTGCATTTATTATTACAAAAAATCACATTGCTTATCCTATACTAATGACTGTAATGCAAAAGAAATTACATGTATTATAAGATTATTTGATTATATAAGATTGAAACTATTGGATGCTAGACAAATAAACTTCTTAATTTTTTGTATTCTCTTTGGAATGACAATTTTTGGTTTTTTATTATACTATACTTCAAGAAAGGAAATTCCATTATCTTGACAGATGCATCATTTTTACCAATCATGATTAACAATATCTTCAATTTTTTTAATATCCTTATATCAGCTAATATTATGAAGCTGATTCTGAGCCCCTTGCATCTCCAATATGATTTGATATTTTTGAAAGAAGGTATTAAGCTTTAATTCATTCAAAAAAGGAGGACAATACTCAACTATAAGCTCTTCTTTAAGCAATATTTGAGCAATTAGAATACACTTCTCCTAAAACTTACGATTTTTCTTTAGCTTTAATTCTTTTTAAGTTCCACTATATCTTGTTCAAATTTCACAACTTTAGATCTAAGTTCAGCATTCTTAGTAACAATATCTGTCCTATTTTTCTTTAGCTCTTCAAACTCAGATTTTTCAATATCATGCTTAGTATCTTTCTTCTCAATCAATTTTAAAAGCTCAATTCTAGTAATACGTCTATTATTCTCTTCCATTATCTGTTTTATGAGTTTCGCATTCCTGACTTAAACCTTAATAACTTCTTTCTAAGTTTAGAAATCTTAGAATTCTCAGCCTCAAGCTCAATAATGCATTATTTCAATGAATCAATCCTATTCTCTAGGACCTCCTAAAGGACCATCTATTTCAGATTGCATACTTGTATTATAATATTATTATATATTATATACTTATATTCAAATAATTAAAAATATGTATTTTTAGCTGTGTTTCAGCTGAAATTTGCTAAGAAAAATCCCTTAATTTAAGATTTTTAGGATAAAAAGCTTTCTATTATTTCCTTATCTTAATTGCATAAAATATTTTATTAAAATAGTTAGATTATCTCCCGTAATAGTAAAGCTACCAAAAAGTATTATTATATGCAAAAAGAAATACAAAGATTGAAATATTGCTTATGATGCATTATATTATTTTTTTAATAAATTTTTCAATTCTAATTTTCTTACTAGTTGAGGAACTATCATTACTAACCCTATCTTTTAGTAGCCCAACAATTCACATTACTTTAAAGTAAATCAGGATTTTCTTTAATTGCTGATTTCATAAGATTAAATTTGGTATTTATTATCACTTATACAGAAAATACCATCTAGAGTATTATATAATAAGTGCTACTCTATACCTATAGTTATAATATTATAAATGTAGTTAAAATAGTCATTTTTAAATACTTAATCTCAGTTTATTTCTTTTTATTTGTCTGAAATATGCTTTTAAGCTGTGTTAGATTTTAAGAGATATAATACACCAATTTTTTTAGTCTTCTTATTTTGAAGTCAATAAACTGATAAGACAAATAGACTTATTTTGAGCATATCTAATTTTAATATTGCAAGGTTTTCCTTCAATAATACAAAGGAGCTCTTCTAAATTTTTGATTGTGTAGTCTACTTATTCTGTTACATCTTCATCTGAAATATTTTTTTACTATATCTTGAGAGGTGAGATTTTTAGCTATGGTGATAGATGTATATAATAATGCTAAAATAAATTTATAATGCATTACCTTATTGACATCAATTATGATTTCTGTATTAAACAATTTTAAAATTATATTATCTATACAATAATAAAAAGTCTTATCATTATCATTAATTTCCTTGAAAACTGTAAAGGAAAAAATAAGTTATTATTTATAATAACTAATTCTAGAGCAAAGTAAAATTAAAAGAATAATCATGCATCAGAAGTAAATTATTTGATATTTGTTATATCTTTTCTATTGACCTTATTTTTATGTAACATTTCTTTTAAGTCGTCAAAAGTCTTATACGAGGAATAATTTTGTAATTTCTTGTTGAGACTTTTAATAAATTCTATAAGAACTATTGCAGGTCTTCCTTTTATGCTATAATGTTTAAGTTTTTCTTCAATTAATTTGAGAAAGGAGTGACTGGTAATTTTTTTTTTTCGTAAAATTTTAAAGTGAGGCTTCTTAAGCTTTAAGTCTTTCTTTTTCAAATATTTAATAAGCTTCTCTATATCATCCTTAATAACATCTGACATTGTTCTAGTAAAAATTTCTTTCATTATTGAGGCGGATGAAATGGGTGAAGAAGCTTGTGAAGATATAATTTTTATATATGTATATTTATGCTTGCAAAAAAATTTATGTATCTGACAGCAGTTATAAGTAAAGTTAAATTATAGATATAAAAGTATTTTTAGTTTCTGATGCTCAGGGAGAAATAATAGATTTTTTTATATTTAATTAATACTTTTATCTAATATATATACAATTAAAATATAATATAAAATTATTAAATGATATCATTACACATGACATTTTTTAAGATTTATGATAAGAACATACAGTCACACCTCGATATAACGAAGTTGCCGATCTAGCCGATCAGGACTTCGTTATAAGAATCTTCGTTAACGCTATAACGAATTATGCGGAATGTATAACGAATAA